TTTATTAAAGAGCATAATAAGCCAAATAAGGAAGTTTTGTAAAGTTATAAAAAACAAAATATAGTGGGTCATTTCAAAGAGAGCTTATGGGACTAAAACCAGGAGCTCTTAACGCTGTGACCTAAAATTGAAGTTCTCCATAGGATGTAATAGACACTCAATAGTGTCTATTTTGTCCTGAAGAGATATATGATAAAAAACAAAACAAAACAAAACAAAACAAAACAAAACAAAAAAACAAAAACAAAATATAGTATCATTAAATTTTTACGTAATCCTGGCCCATGCATGGCTCTCTTAAATAGAGTGACACTTTCCCCCTAAATATATTATTAAGCACAAAAAGTTTGTTGCTATTAACTTTTGTAAACAAAGTAATAAACAAACTTAAGATTTCTGATTTGGTTTAAAAAAATGAAAATCATTTCTTTTTTAAAAAATATTTTATTCATTTTTTTACAGAAGGAAGGGAGAGGGATAGAAAGCTAGAAACATCAATGAGAGAGAAACATCAATCAGCTGTCTCCTGCACACTTCCTACTGGGGATGTGCCTGCAACCAAGGTACATGCCCTTGACCGGAATCAAACCTGGGACCCTTCAGTCTGCAGGCCAATGCTCTATCCACTGAGCCAAACTGGTTAGGGCTGAAAAATCACTTCTTTAACATATATTGTAACTTGCCTTCAGTCAGAGATGACCTATTCTCAACATGAGAACTTGACCTTATAAACTAAATATTGAGAAGAATATGATTCTTTGTAACTTTCTTTTAATAAAGGAAATAATTGTGTTTTCATGGAATAATCTCATCAGGTTTGAGTAGTAAGGTAAAAATTTAAAAATACAAACATGGCCCAGCCGATGTGGCTCAGTGTTTGAGTGTCGACTTATGAAACAGGAGGTCACAGTTCAATTCCTGGTCAGGGCATATGCCCAGGTTTTGGGCTCAATCCCCTGTGTGGGGCATGCAGGAGGCAGCCATTCAAAAATAGATGTTTCTATCTCTCTCTACCTCTGCCTTCCTTTCTGAAATAAAAAAGTATATATATTTAAAAAAATACAAATACTAGTTTCATCTTTGTTGAAAATATAGCAGACCAGCTCTGGCTGCTGTGGCTCAGTTGGTTGGGTGTCATTCAGTGCACCAAAAGGCTGACAATTTGATTCCTGGTAAGGGCACATGCCTGGGTTGCAGGCTCTATCCCCAGGTAGGGGGTGTACAGGAGGCATCCGATCAATGTTTCACTCCCACATTGATGTTTCTCTCTCTCTCTCTCTCCCTCTCCCTTCCTCTCTAAAAAAAATCAATGAAAGATACTTTAAATAGCTATAAAGGAGCCTTAAAGGTATTTCAGGAAAAAAAAAATAAGTTACAAACTCTAGCTAGATTTTGTTCTCAAATTTTCTGTCACACATACACATACCTGTAATCCTATATAATAAAGAGGTAATATGCAAATTGACCATCACTCCAACACACAAGATGGCCGCCCCTTGTGGTCAAAGATGGCCACCACAAGATGGCCAGTAGGAGAGGGCAGTTGTGGGCGATCAGACCAGCATGGGAGGGCAGTTGGGAGGTACCAGGCCTGCAGGAGAGGGCAGTTGGGGGCAATCAGGTCGGCAGAGGAGGGCAGTTAGGGACAATCGGGCTGGCGGGGGAGCAGTTAGGCGTCCATCAGGCTGGCAGGGGAGTGGTTAGGGGAAGATCAGGCTGGCAGGCAGAAGCGGTTAGGGGCAATCAGGCAGGCAGGCAGGCGAGCAGTTGGGAGCCAGCAGTCCTGGATTTTGAGAGGGATGTCCAACTGTCTGAGAGGGCAGTCAGATATCCCTCGAGGAGTCCCAGATTGGAGAGGGTGCAGGCTGGGCTGAGGGACACACCCCGCCCATGCACGAATTTTGTGCACTGGGCCTCTAGTATCAAATAAGCAGGGATTTATGTGATTTCTAAATAATGTTGCAAATAGACTCTATTTTAGGTTTCCTTTTTCCTTTTCATTTTGAAAACAAATGAGTTTTATTCACATTTTTTTCCTGCTCCATTTTCCCAAAAGGCTGCCACTACTGTTCCCTTTATATATTCTATTTTTGTTATGATAATTATTTACAGGGATGATAATTGCTTGCCTCCTCCACCCCTCAAAAAAACCCACATTTATTTCATGCAAACTTGGATGACGAATATTTAATGTAAAGTGATTGTGTAAGGAAATTTCAACCCCTAAGTGAATGTAAGTGTGAAATGTCTCTAAAATATTATGTAGTTTAAAAATGATCATATTGACCCATCACCCTATTGCATCTAATTGCAATGATTATATTTGTATATATAATCATTTTATCCTATGAATTACTTTCTAAGGACAAATTTCCAAGTATGTTATATACAGGGATTTTAAAACCACTTTTAATAACTGTTCCCAAATATTTGAAAGAATTATTTACAAAGCTATTACTCGCCCTCGCCGGTGTGACTCAGTTGGTTGGAGCACCGAGAGGTAGCTGGTTTGATTCCTAGTCAGGGCATATTCCTGGGTTGTGGGTCTCCAGTAGGGGGATTCATGCTGCTCTCTCACATTGATGTTTCTTTCCCTTTGTCCCTCGCCCTTCCTCTGTCTCTAAAAATCAATAAAAATATTTTTTAAAACTATAAGCGTAAAAGTATCTGGTCATTTTGTCAAAAGCTACTAGGTTATTTTATTATTTGAAGTCTTAAAAATTATAATTGTTTCCTTATTAACTTGAAATTTCCAATTTGAGGTGAATTCTGGCCTTTTGACTTTACCACTATTATTCTTTTATGTGTTTAAGATATTTGAAGAACTATGAAAATCCTTTTATCATCCTTCTCTATGTATGGAGAGCCTGATTTCTTTTCATTTGTTAATAAATAATTCATTTCTCAGAAATGTGAAAAACCTAGTCTTTGGGTTTTAAACTCATTAAATATGCCAAGTCCTTATAATATTTCTAGCTCTCTGAAAATTATCAAATAAGATGAAAATTTACTTTTTTTCTTCTCAGTGTTACCCAGCAGAATAATTTAGGCTTTTCAGGGATAGTAATGTCAGTGTTCCTTTGGTAATTAATTGTTGATCCCTGCACTGGACTCCAAGTTGCTTTTTTTTTTTTTTTTTTTTTAAGTAGGAGTCTTAAAGTGACTTTGTATATTAGTAGTGTTTTCTATGTATTTTGAATTTGAAAATTTATCTTTTGACATTAAGTATTTCTTGATGGGACTAAAAATTTTGTTGAATATCTGACAAACCTCTATAACCTGTAACTAGGCTAGATGGATGTTATAAATTTCTAATGTCAAAGTGTTTTTAAAATAGAGAGTTTTGAGAAATAGGAAAGCTATCAGAATGCACAAAAATGGACATCTGAAAGAATTGCTGAATCATTAATGTAAAGCAATTTGGCATATACAGTAGGTGTTCCCATACCTTAAAAGGTTAACACATGATCATCACCTTTTCACTATACTCTAAACATTATGTACATTTACTTTTCTGCATAAATGTTCTTTTTTATTTTAAGTTTACAGACTTAAGATACTTAAGTATAAGGCTCTATGTAATTTTTTTCTATGCAATTTTTTTGACATTTTCTTATTAATCCATCTTTCAATATTATATTAGGAATAGGAACACTTTGAAAAGATGAGGAAACCATACAGGAAATAAGAGATTAGTTATATACATTTAAATTATGACTCATAAATATCCAAAATATATAAGAGCAGACATCAAAAGGGTATACAAGTGATATGACATAAAATTTGTTGATAAATATACCAAACTACAATAAATAAATAAACATATATTCCTAAGAAAAAAAGGATTAGAAGGAAATACACTAACATTTAGCAGGGAATTATCTAAAGTGGTATGATAGGGATGTTTTTATTTTAATCTTTTTCCTTTCTGTTTTCCAAAATCTTTAACAATAATTTATATTTATAATTAGGGAAAATGTGTTCTTAAAAGAAAAAATATTTCTCATACTATTGCCCCAAAAATAGCATATCCAGATTTTAAGCTGATCCAGTTAAGGTCTTGAAAGAAACATGAGTATTTACTGTTGGTAACCTGATACTTTTCTCCTCTCTGTCCTGCAGCACAAAAGGTCTTCAGTGACTCTAAGGAATTAGAGGTGTCTCGTTCTATTTTAGTTGAAGTAACTAAAATCAGATATGAAGATTTCATAAATATTAGTTTGCCAGAACTATTAACTTTTATTTATATAAAAAGACCATTTAAAATCATTAGCTAAAATAATATTTAAGTCCTCTAGTTATTTTTAAAATATTTTTTTGAAGTTTATGATATAGCCTTTTTACAATGTGAAATTTGTATATTGACTTATAGCATTTTGATTGATAAACCCCAGGAATTTTGAAAATGACACATTTTTTGAAAATTTTAATTTAGACAAACCATATGTTAGTATTGTATATCTTACACTTGAATAACTTGAAATTGAAGTGAAAATACCTAAAATAAGTACCCATGGGTACTTTTATTTGCATAATAAGTTTAACTTATTTTAAGATAGGATGCCTAATAGCTATAATTATTTTTGTTACTTTTCACCTAGAATGGAGTAAATAAAAAAACGTAGTTATGACATTGTATGCTGAAATATTGGTGTCTTAATCTACTTGGCCTCTTAAAAAGGAAATACAGATGGTAGAGCCAGAAGGAAAATGAATAGTTAATCGTGGAGGAGGAGAAAACCTAGCTCAGATCTTTGACTAGCGGCAGCTGGGGAAGTGACGTCCTGTAGCATTTGCTGTTCTAGAAAGTACAGAGACACGTAGTGAGAATGGGAGGATCTAGAAGGCTGTCTCCTGTGTAGTGTATATTTATCTGTAAGTGAGCTGTTGGGGAAGGAATTAAATACGGATATGCTGTCTGCTTGCTGCCTTAAGACAGCGAGGCTGAATTGCTAATTGCTTTAACTTTTAAAATACCCTGCTTGGTTTATTTTCCTTAGAATCCTTGTATTGCTAAGACTGGGGACGCAGTTTTCTTTCACAAAGGGAAATCTAAGTTCATTTCAAGGCATTCGAAATGGGGAAAGACTATTATTGCATTTTGGGAATTGAAAAAGGAGCGTCAGATGAAGATATTAAAAAGGCTTACCGAAAACAAGCCCTCAAATTTCATCCGGACAAGAACAAATCTCCTCAGGCAGAGGAAAAATTTAAAGAGGTCGCAGAAGCTTATGAAGTATTGAGTGATCCTAAAAAGAGAGAAATATATGATCAGTTTGGGGAGGAAGGTAAGAATTTGGTGTCTATCTTTCTGTCTCTCCAGCTCTGTGTCTCTTTCTCTCTCTCCCCGTTCTCTCTCAGCTTTCTGGCTGTCATTAAATTAAACCATCAGACATATCAATGTAGAAGGATAAATAATGGATAAAAACAAAATTTATCTCTGATGATATGAATGAATATTACATAGCTGTCAATCAAATATACTTGGTTGCCTTTTTTTAAGATTTTGGCATTTTGTAATATCCGTATTCTACCACTAGATTTATATTGTTAACATTTATATTTGAAAAGGAACCTTAAATTCTCATACACATTAATGAATTGTGTCAAAAGTCTTATGCAACCTGTTTTATTTTTTAATGAGTTTTCTGCCAGAACCAGTAAAGATCCTTCAATCATTTAAAATCTTAAGACTGGCAGTTCAAATTCTGGTTAGTTTCTATTTTATTCACAAAAAAGAAGTTTTTTGCCTTTCTTATAGCAAAGCTAGTTTAGCTTGAACAAGAGAAAGTCGTCTCTCTGAGAAGAAGGCCTAGGCATTTAGCTCTAGTTGTTTTTGGCATTCCGCCTGGAGAGGAAAGAATTTTCCTGATGTCATAAAATACCAGAACAAGTTTTTAGCTTAATTGTAAACAGTAATTGTTGCCAAGAAAATGAGATCTCAGAAATACAATTTTTGACCTAAAATGGCCACTTAGCATAATTATTGATTTACTTTTAGGTAGCACTATTTCCTTTGACATTTTACTCTCTAGCTATAGAGAAAAGCATGATAACTTCCCTTTCCTGTCCCTGCGGTACTTTTGTTTCTTGCATTGTGAGATCAGAAACTAGTTGAATACAGTAGATGAGATATTTTAAGATTATTTTATCAGTCTAGATTTTAAATTAAGTTTGTCATCATCTCCATAGCTGTAAAGTAAGTCTGTTTTAAATTGCTAATTAACAACAAAAATACTTTAATTCCTACATTTTTAAAAATCAGAACTTAAAGTTATTTTATTTTCACCCAAAGTGTTCTCTTTTAAATTCTTATAAATTATGAAAGTTTAAGTTATGAAAACTTTTCTGTTATGTCTTTGCATTCTTTATTGCATTTAATGTTAACTTTTTCTAATTAGAAATATATCCTAAAACAGTGAAAAAGTGACTATTCATTTTAAGTTAAAAATTAAATTTAGATAAGCAGGGTGATTATGTATTAAGGCTTTTTTCTTTGTCTTATTTTTCTTTTTGGTCTGAGTTGCCAAAAATAGCAGCTTTTGCTGCTAGCTTTGGTGTGATGAGGACCTGCATTGTCAGGTTCCTATAAAGTAATATTGAAAAAGGCAAATAGTTGGCAGTTTAATCTGCTTGCTCCTGTGGCCACACTACTCAAAATACTATGGTTCGGTTCATCATAAAAGCTAAGCAGGATTCTCAGGTACTACTAACAGTGTACTATTTCCAAAGAACTTATTTTGTAAAGAAATCCATAAATAGAGGGGATAAATGGTGATGGAGGGAGACTTGACTTTTGGTGGTGAACACACAATATAATATGCAGATGATATATTATAAAATTTACACATGAAAACTATATAGTTTTATTAACCAAATCTCACCTCAATAAAGCCAATTAAAAATTTAAAAAGAGAAATCCACAAATATAAATTTCCATGGAAAACCAGATACCCACTGCTTTACTCCACATCTCATTGATAACTGACTCAGCCATAGGACTGAGAATATTTGTCTTCAGAAATTTCAAGTCACCAAATAATACACATTTTTTTTTGGTTTAACATTACCTTTTAGTAGTGTTTTTATTGAGTGATATTTCTCTAGTTTGATTTTTACTGATCGTCATCAGTGAGTGAATATAAAAACAACACCAAAAAAACAAACAAACAAACAAAAAAACTGAAGCGGGATCATCTATATACCCTGAATTTTTTTTTTCTTTTCGTTTTTATTTATTTATTTATTTATTTATTTTTTACCCTGAATTTTTGTTGTTGTTCTTGACTCAGATAATTTATATAACAATAGGTAATAGTAAGGGGGGGGGAATAAGTTTTTAAATAATATATTTTAAAGCTTTTCAATGCTTTAAAATATGTTATTCAGAAATACCATTTTCTAGTTATGCTACTTGAAAATAGTTAAAATAAAAGTTACTATATTTGATTCTTTTTAAAAAAATCGTTCTTTCTTTACAGAAAGGATTATATTTGCCTTTTATTCAGAATGTCTCATTCTTTTAAAAAAAATCCCTTTAGTTATAGTACTGTGAAAATGTGGGAAAACATTTTTCTCTTCGTTTTTCATATCTGTTCATGCCTGCAGGCCTGGTTCCATAGCCCTATGGCTTTCTCTAACAGTAACAAAACACTGAATTTTATGATTGGAGCCATTACTAATTTACCTGATGTACCCCCGCCCCCCAATTATTGCACTGTTTCAAGGCTTGGGACAGTGGGAAGGAACCATGAACTGAGAAGTGTATGAGTGAAACATGCTAAATTATGTATTTAGGAACTAAGAGAACCTAGTTACCCAGTTTGTTCATGGTTTGAAAATCTCTAATATCCACAATTTTAAATGCTGGGGTTTTAAAAAAATTATTGATTGATTTTTAGAGAGGAGAGAGAGAGAAAGAAAAGAGAGAAACATCAATTTGTTCCACTTATTTATGCATTCATTGGTTAATTCTTGTATGTGTCCTGACAGATCAAACCCGCAACCTTGGAGTATCTGATGCTCTAACCAACTGAGCTACCCGACCAGGGCCTTAAATGCTGTGTTTTTTTAAAGCTGGATAAAAATAGAGATGTTTTAAATTTATTATATGGCCCAGCAGTACTACTACTAGGAATCTATAAAAGAGAAATGAAAATATACGCCGACCCAAAGACATGTATGTGAATGTTCATAGCAGCATTATTTGTAATGGTCCCCGACTAGAGACAAGTCAAAAGTACTATCATTTGGTGAATGGATAAACAAAATGTGATAAATACTATGTATGTGCGAGCGTGTGTGCGCACGTGCGCGCGCGCGCACACACACACACACACACACACACAATGGAATACTATTTAGCAATTTAAAATTACCAATTTAATTAAGTCTGCTATATCATGGATGAAATTTAAAAACTATGCTAAATAAAAAAGTTGGATGTAAAAGACTATATAGGCTATGGTTCCATTTATATGAATTACATAGAAAAGGTAAATTTGTAAAGAAAGAAAGCAGATCAGTGGTTGCCTAGGGCTAGAGGTAGGAACAAGGATTAGCTACAAATAGCAACTAGAGATAAATGTTCTAATTATTGTGGTGATGGTCGCACAATTCTATAACTTTACTAAACTCATCGAATTGTACATTCGATGGGTTAATTTTATGGTATGTAGTAAATAACGTTATTTTAAAAAACAGAAATTTTCCACATAGTTGAATCATTGGAAAACAAAAAACACCGAACTACAGAAATTTAAAATTGGATTTTGAATTAGTCTCTCTGAAAAAATTTAGGTGTAGTTCTGAATTGTTTAGTAGATGTCAACACAAGTTTGTATTAAAAGACTAAAAAAATTTTTTTAAGTAACACATCCTTATAGTATTCTAGTTCTCTAACATTTCTTTATGCCTTCTTTTTTTTTTGCTTGTTTATGGTTTAATCAATAACTTACTTTAAATACTGAAAGGTAGTATTTAGCCCTGGCTGGTTTGGATTAGTGGATAGGAGTGTCAGCCTGCAGACTAAAGGGTCCAGGGTTTGATTCCGGTCAAGGGCACATGCCCGTGTTGCGGGCTCGATTTCCAGAAGGGGGTGTGCAGGAGGCAGCTGATCAATGATTCTTTCTCATCATTGATGTTTCTAACTCTCTCCCTCTCCCTTCCTCTCTGAAATCAGTAAGAAAATATATATAAAAAAGGAAGGTAGTATTTATATGATAAGACTTTTATTTTGTACATTAATCTCTATACTAGCTTGCTTCTTCAGTTATTGTTTTAAATCAACTGGATCTTTTTATTTACTATATATTTCTAAAAATAAATAAATTGGGTTTTTATGAATCAAAACTTTTTAAAGGTTCTCATACTAGTAATTCTAAAACTTGCTATCAATCTGGATATTTACATGTTAAATCTCCTTAAAGTAAGAGTTATTAAAGTCTTATAATTTTTTTCTTTGAAGTCCTAATTCTTCTCCAATGCTGTTTCTTTTGATAAACTTTTAGTCAACTAACTGTTAGAAATCATTTTTATGGTATGTATCCCAAACACATATTTGTTTTTGGATTGCACATTGGTTGGTTGGTTGCTGTTTTTTTAATCCTCACCTGAGGATATGCTTAGAGAGAGAGAGACAGAGAGAGAGAGAAAGAAAGAAACAGCGATGTGAGAGAGAAATATTGATCTGTTGCCTTCCCTACACATCTCGACCAGGATTGAACCCACAGCCTAGGTATGTGCCCCAACTCTGAATTGAACTCGCAAACTTCTGGTGCACAGGACAATGCTCCAACCTACTGAGCCACCCAACCAGGGTGCTTAGTTGTTTTTTTAAATAATAGCAGTCTTTCTAAAGCACAGGCAGATGTTGTTGACTCTAAGAGTGCATTCCTTGGTAATACAAAGTGATATGGTATCTGGGAAACATTTTGGACAGCAGAAGGAATCCTGTTGAATTTTAAGATTTTCCACAAGCAGTTGAAATGTGCGTAATAAAAGAATTGACTGTATAGTTGATGACATGCCCATTATAATTCAAGTGCCCAGCAGTGCAAGTGATATTTGCATAATAATTCATGTTATATTGGAGCAGTATGAATTTTGGTTAGATTTCTCACAGTCATTATAGTAGCCTTGTCATATATCTGAGTGATGTAGTTGACTAGTGTCAGAGAAAATTTCAAAGCCCTGTTGGAGGCTTTTTGTCACCTTTGATACATGCCATTTTATACAGTATGTAAATCTCAGGAACTCTGTAATCCTGATAGAGTTACTATTTTTGGCAGAGGAGGAAAGGGATTTTAGGGAAAAGCCAAACCCATGATATAATAACTTTTTAAAATTTAAATTCTTTATTGTTTAAAGTATTAATATGTTTCCTTCTCCCCCACCTCCTGCTCATTGACCTCTTCCCGGCGTTTCCACCCCCCCAGCACATGCCCTTACCCCCCTACTGTCTGTGTCCATGGGTTATGTTTATATGCATGCATACAAGTCCTTTGGTTGATCTCTTACTCACTCCTCCTGCCTTCCCTCTGAGGTTGGATAGTCTGTTCAGTGCTTCTATGTCTCTGGATCTATTTTTGTTCATCAGTTTATGTTGTTCATTATATTCCATAAATGAGTGAGATCATGTGATATTTATCTTTCTCTGACTAGCTTATTTCACTTACCATAATGCTCTCTAGGTCCATCCATGCTATTGCAAATGGTAAGAGTTCCTTCTTTTTTTTACAGCAGCGTAGTATTCCATTGTGTTGATGTACCACTGTTTTTTAATCCACTCTCCTGCTGATGGGCACTTAGGCTGTTTCCAAATCTTAGCTATTGTAAATTGTGCTGCTATGAACATATGGGTGCATGTATTCTTTCTGATTGATGTTTCTGACTTCTTGGGATATATTCCTAGAAGTGGGATTACTAAGTCAAGTGGTCATGATATAATAACTTAAAATATTCTTTTCATGAATTCAGTATGGGCTCAAACATTTAGATTTTTGTCTTGCTGACAAAATTAAACTATTTTGGCAGCTAATTTACTCGATTTACTTTATTAACTCTGTTAAATTATTATACTGTGTTATATTTATGGGACAAAAGATGAAAGGATTGAGATAATTTAATGGTTTAGTCACATTGATCATGACCCTGAGTTGTATACATATTCTATCATTAAAAAAAAATCTGTTACTAGGTTTTTGTGTGTGTGTGTATTTTTTTTTAAACATTTGGAGCTATAACAATACCACTAAAATTTAACTAAAATAAGTTTGGATGAGCTGCATGTTAAAAGTTCTTGTCCTGTTTATACTTGTCATCCTGTTCCTACAAGGAATGTCTCTAACTGCTATTTGGATGTATTATTCAATACATATTTTGACAATTTTCTTATTATTATATTGCTCTTGGTCTCTCCAGATTTTTATTCATGTATGAAGGTAAAAATTTAAACACCAGCTAAGACTGTTGGATGAAGTAGAGTTCATGTATACCTTTTAATGGAATAACTCAAATAGAACAAGACATGCAAAACTAAGTCCCTTTGAAAGTATGCTTAATGATACCAGTAGAATTTATTATTATTAAATATCTCATCTATGTACATGTGTGATTTTGCTTCTGCCTCTTCTCTATCCTGACATTCAAGATATACCTTTTAAAGTTTCTATTTAGGAGACTAAGAATAGATCATTCCCTTTATGCAATAAACATGAGCATCTGTCATTTTTTTCAGCCCAGTATGCATTGAATAATGCAGAAATGAATAAAATATTTTCTGCCCTCAAATTACTACTATTTGAACATATTGGGATCTCTTAGTTAAATCTCTGGAATGTATCAGTTTTATAATTTTTAGATTCTGCTCCTGCTTGTTTTTTTGGTCAGGAATTCTCATAAAGCTCATTCAGAAAGTTTATTCATATTGTAATGATGTAAATCCTTGTCAGTATTGCTCCCTTAAAAGATCACTGTAATCCCACTGCTGCCAACAACAAAAAAAACAAACAAAAAAAAAAAAAAACAAAAAAAAAAAGAAAGAAAGAAAAAAGATTCCTGTACTATAGTTTGTGGGTTTTAGTAGGATCTTTCTTAGGTAGGTGGTGGTCATGATGCTTCAAATATATAATCTTTTGTAAGCTATATATTACTTAGTTGAGCCTAAAGAACAGGGTCAGAGGTTCACTAACTTGGTGGGTGAAACAGGTTGTCCATAATAGACAGAAATAACCAGTCCAAAGGCCTTATATATCAAGAGGATTTACAGCTCTTGATTTCAGTCTTCTTTTTAAATGGTGTTGAAATTAATCTAATCTCGTGGTATGCCTAGAGGAACAATTTTGTTATCTGGGATAGTGATAACAATATTAGTGTGTAAAAAACATTTTTTGTACTATTAAAGTTTTTCAGCTACAGAAAGAGTTCTGTTTTAATTTTTAAGCAGTAAAAGATGATCTGAAATAAAACTTGTTAATATCAATATGGTATTTTATGTTGTTGATTGTTGTGCTCATTGATGATAATGCTACTTAAAGATTTAGATTATACATTTTGCATTGATTACTGAAGACCTTTCAACTGACATCTGTTAAGAACTTAAACTTTATATACTTTAGGTTGTCAACCAGTAGCTTATGAGATAAGAGGTTCCAGACTTCTATTTTCTTATTTATCTGTGGAACAGTGATTAAGGGATAAATTATCATTAAAGATGGGTATTTGGAGGAAGAATTTGAAGCAAAAATTTTAACTTCAGATAGAATGATCTAGAGTTTTGTAGCTGTTCTGTATTTAGTTATAATGGCATTTCTGGCCAATTTAATAAATTACAATCTAAAGTTGTCAAAGTTTATTAGTAATGCAATTTTTGAAAGTTAAACTTTCAGTAGTTGAAAGCTTTATTCTAATCGTGCTTATTTCTTCACTTAGGGTTGAAAGGAGGAGCAGGAGGTACTGATGGACAAGGAGGTACCTTCCGGTACACCTTTCATGGTGATCCTCATGCCACATTTGCAGCATTTTTCGGAGGTTCCAATCCCTTTGAAATTTTCTTTGGAAGACGGATGGGTGGTGGTAGAGATTCTGAAGATATGGAAGTAGATGGAGATCCTTTTAGTGCCTTTGGATTCAGCATGAATGGATATCCAAGAGACAGGAATTCTGTGGGGCCATCCCGCCTCAAACAAGATCCTCCAATTATTCATGAACTTAGAGTATCACTTGAAGAAATATATAGTGGTTGTACCAAACGGATGAAGATTTCTCGAAAAAGGTTAAACCCTGATGGAAGGAGTTATAGATCTGAGGACAAAATTCTCACCATTGAGATAAAAAAAGGATGGAAAGAAGGCACCAAAATTACTTTTCCAAGAGAAGGAGATGAAACACCAACTAGTATTCCAGCAGACATTGTTTTTATTATTAAAGATAAAGATCACCCCAAATTTAAAAGGGATGGATCAAATATAATTTATACTGCTAAAATTAGTTTACGAGAGGTAAGTTAGTAAAAGCTAGGATTATGAAACCAAACATTTATGCATTTGATTTTAGGGAATTTAAATAATAGCTAAGATTTATTTAATGCTTACTACACATTATTTTTTAAATTATCCTAAGAATCCTCTGAGGTAGTACTGCTATTATACCTCTTTTATGAATAAAATTGTACATTCTAAGTTTAGTTACCTATATTAACAATTTAAATGCTAATTTTAAGTGCTACCTAGATTATGTACTATGAGGCCTAACGATGAATTAACTCTACTCTGTTTTTATAAGTGTGGTTTATGAGATCTGCATTGTAATCTCCTCACCTTAGTCCATGTGTAAGATTTTTAGTTTGGAGTAATTATATAACAAAAAAATGTGTTAAAGGACAAAATAATTTATAAGGATACTGATTTGGTACATGAGTTTTAATTTTGTTCTATTTTTAGGCATTATTTCTCAAGTTAGATTATAATCTAACAAATATGGCTATGTCAGTTCCCTGCTTAAAATTCTTAAATGACTCCACATAGCATCTATTATAAAGTTCAAACTCTTTAGCTTAACATAAAAGATCATTTTTAATCTGATTTCCACCCATAACTGTACATGCATTTCCCTAAGTTTGCTCTATTATTATCTTATATATATCTGTGTCATTGTCTGAGCTCTACTCTGTAGAACACTATTGTGCCCCACTCTGCCTCAATACCAACTATTAGTCCAATGCTTACTTTAAGCATTTGGTATTCCCAGAAGCTAAGAGGGTATGTTGGGTGCCTTTTCTCTCACAAAAGACTTCTGCACATATCACTGTGCCAACATTGTATTGTATTTTAATTACTAGTTTGCTTCTGTGGTCCTTGTGCATTCCTTGAAGTGGGGTTGGTATTCATGGTCCCTATATATGCTCAGCATCTATCAGGAATGTGTGGCATATAGTAGGTACTCAGTAAACATTTATTGACTAAAACAATAAATGTATTTTTTATTCTAACGTTTTCCCTCCAGAGAAGTAGGTAGTTGCTCCTATCATGTTCTTTCCAGCCCTGAATTTCTCCCTCTTTCTTCTCCCATTCCATCCCTGCATCTTGAATGTTGCAATAGCAGACTCAAACTGTCCATTTCAGTCCAGGGCAGTGTGAAAGACATGCTTTACTTCTTTCTTCCTTTTCCTTTCCTTCCCCTTCCCCTTCCCCTTCTCCTTTTCTTTTTTTTTTTTTTTTTTTTTTTTTTTTTTTTTTTTTTTTTTTTTTTTAGCATGCCTGCTTGTACATGTCCTAAAGGGATTTTTTTAATGGGGGAAATAATTTTATAATTATTGATATTCTTTTGGAGATTAAAATTTTGCCATACTGGTATCATCCTTTACAATTGGTAATATTTTTGTTTAGACTTTTAAGTTGTTTAATTTTATTTTGTGCACTTTTTAGGCATTGTGTGGCTGCTCAATTAATGTTCCAACAATGGATGGAAGAACCATACCTATGTCAGTAAATGATATTGTGAAACCTGGAATGAGGAGAAGAATTATTGGATATGGGCTGCCATTTCCAAAAAATCCTGAGCAACGTGGTGACCTTCTAATAGAATTTGAAGTGTCTTTCCCAGATTCTATATCCTCATCATCCAAAGAAGTACTTAGAAAACATCTCCCTGCCTCATAGAATGAAAAACTTTGCTACTCATATTTTGATAAGGCACTGAAAATATAAAAGGACTGGCTGTTTATTGATGTAGATGTGAATTCTGTATAAAGATGTATAAATTATTTTGAGGGTTCATTAAATTGCATGAATAGAGACGGGTCAAATAAATAGGCAAAAGGGATTTTTACAGTTAGAGATGAGAAATCATTCACTCTATTTTATTTCTCCCAAGTCAGAAATTTTTAGTATTTTGCTTACATGTAAAGTTTGTTTTTGTGGAGTTAGTAGATATATTTCTAATAAAGTACTAGACTATCCAAGTACTTTATTTCTTATATCTTTACATTATCAATGTAGTAGGCTCTCATTTATAATGGAAATTTAAATTCTTAACTAAGCTATACATGTGATATGTATTTCTAGAAAATAAAAACCCAAGTCATTTGGAAATGTGGTTAACTAGATTTAAATCACTATCTGAAATGCTGCTATAGGGCTGGTACCCATAAAAGAATATCCAAATGCATATGTTTCATCATTTTGATTTTTAAAATATGCTATAGTGTTTGTTAATAACATAGTTGTAATGTTCTTAAGATGGACCTTTTCTCCATAAAAAGGAAATTCATGGCAATTTATCTCCTGTGGAAATCCCAATTGTCTGAATTACTGATATTTTAGAAATAGGCTGTTTTTAAAATACCATATGTAATTTTATGCAAGTTGATTATATATCTTGGACTTAATAAATTATAGGCACATTTTATGGTCCACTAGTTTAAACTAGTTTGTTTAATAATAAATATGTTTTTAGAGGAAATGTTGTTACTTGGAATTAATTTTCCAATTACACAGTCTTCTATAACTTACTCATAATATGCTACATGTACCTTATGCAATTTCCCTAAAAAAGAATAAACTACCACTATGGTGTTAAGCCAAAATATGGGGAAAATAAACACTAACTGCTGCTTATGAATGATGTTACTACTACTTGTTATGCATATAAATATTTTACTTTTTCATATGCATAGATTGCATTTCTTAGGTGTTTTAATTTTTTAAAATATATTTACATCTAAAAATTGTTTTGTTTTCTGTTTTGTAACTCTAGTGAGAATGATGTTTTGAAACAGCATTTGGCTCAAAAGTAATTTTCAGGATGATGCACACACTCACAGGGTACACTGGATCCTGTCACTCTTTAGCAGAATATGAAATCTTCTTTTAGAAATTCAAGAAGTAGGTTGCAATCGCCATTTATTTTATGGCTTTATGGAGATACTAGCGGCCTGATGCACGAAATTTGTGCAAGAGTAGGCCTTTGCAGCTCTGGCTGCCTCAGCCACCCTCCCAGCCACGGGTTCGTCTGGATGGTTGTTCCGCTGTTTGGCCATCCGGTCGATTTGCATATTATGCTTTTATTATTATAGATAAGTCACATGACATAGCATTTACGCTTTTATTTTTTAAATTTATTTTTTTACGTTCATTATTTTAAAGTCTATGGTTTTAGGACAGGGGTCCTTGAAACTTTTTAAACAGGAGGCCAGTTCACTGTCCCTCAGACATTCCACACATGCGCACTGCGGGCCAGGGAAGAGTCGGCTGCTAAACAACAGGCAGTGGCGGCAAAAACACCTGGCGGGCCAGATAAATGTTTTCGGCGGGCCACATGTGGCCCGCGGGCCATAGTTTGAGGACCCCTGTTTTAGGATATTCACAGAGTTATGCAACCAACCATTCTCTATTTCTGAAACATTTAAATCACCCCCAAAAGAAATCCTATATCCATTAGCTCTCACCTTCCATTCCTCCAGCTCCTGACAAACACTGATCTACTTCTGTCTCTATGGATTTGTCTATTCTGAACATTTCATATAAATGGGAGCAAATGATATATTACTTTTTTTGCTTGGCTTCTGTCACTTAGCCATAATGTTTTCAAGATACATCCATGTTACACTATGTATCAAGATTTCGTTTCCTTTTTTATAACAATAATATTCCATTGTATGGATATACCAAAATTTGTTTAACCATTCATTAGTTTATAGGTGTTTAGGTTATTTCCACTTTTTGGCTATTATTAATAATGCTATGAGTATATTTGTACATGCTTTTGTGTGTATAATTTTTCAATTTTGTTAGATATATATCTAAAATAGAATTGATGGGGATAACCATATATTTTAGTTGTAAGGAAAATGCCAGAGAATTCAGCTAATCATACTTACTATTCCATCTTATTTATAGACTAGAGGCCTGGTGCACGAAATTTGTGCATGGTGGGGGAGGTGTCCCTCAGCCCAGCCTGTACCCTCTCCAATCTGGGACCCCTTGAAGGATGTCCGGCTGCCGGTTTAGGCTCGATCCCTAAAAACCGGCAGTCAGACATCCCTCTCACAATCCAGGACTGCTGGCTCCTAACCACTTGTCTGCCTGCCTGCCTGATTGCCCCTAACCACTTCTGCATGCCAGCCTGATCGCCCTCTAACCGCTCCCCTGCTGGCCAGATTGACACCTAACTGCTCCCCTGCCAACCCGATTGCCCCCAACTGCCCTCTCCTGCTGGCCTTATCTTGCCCCCAACTGCCCTCCCCTGCCGGCCTGGTCGCCCCTAACTGTCCTCCCTTGCAGGTCTGGTTGCACCCAGCTGCTCTCCCTGCCGGCCTGATCTCCCCGCTGGCTGCTCTCCCCTGCTGGCCTGTTCACCCCCAACTGCCCTCCCCTGCCGGCCATCTTGTGGTGGCCATCTTGTGATGACATTGCACGTGATGCCACCTAGGCTTTTATTATATAGGATGTCCTTAGGGAAGGATAAATATCAAGAAAATGTTCTCACAGGTTTAAAGAGCTGAGTGGTGGATGTGGTTTCTATTTTACTCATTTATTTTTTTTTAATTTATTTTTTAAAAGTATATTCTTATTGATTTCAGAGAGGAAGGAAGAGGGAGAGAGAAATAGAAACATCAATGATGAGAGAGAATCACTGATCAGCTGCCTCCTGCATGCCCTCTACTGGGGATCAAGCCCTACACCTGGGCATGTGTCCTGACCCGGAATTGAACAGTGACCTCCCAGTTCATAGGTTAACGTTCAACCACTGAGCCACACCCACCAGACTAGTTTCTATTTTAAACCCACTGTCTTTTATTGAAATTTTCTTGATTATTTTCTCCTAAATTAGATAAAGGATTTATAGATTATATAGGTGAATAATCTTTGGATTAAAAAGTATTTTTAAAGTATAGAATCATTTTAGTAGTAAAAAATTAATTTGCATTGGCATATACTAGTAAAAACCGTATACCAATGTCTTTCTTATCTTAAAGGATATTGATAATGCCTTAGCACGAAATGCCCAATTTTTGTTACATTCATTTAAAAGAGGTTCAAAGTTTTCTTATTTAAATTATGAAAGTATTTTTTATTTTTAAATGTTTTCTTTAAATTCAACCAGGTTCTTGGATACCTGGAATAGTTTTGAAGAACTGTAGATCCTAGTAAGCTAATTGATAAAGATGTTTATCTGTCTTTCCTATAAGAAAACCACTGGTTTGGCTCAGTGGATAGAGCGTCGGCCTGCAGACTCAAGGGTCCCAGGTTCGATTCCGGTCAAGGGCATGTACCTTGGTTGCGGGCACATCCCCAGGAGGGAGTGTGCAGGAGGCAGCTGATTGATGTTTCTCTCTCATTGATGTTTCTAACTCTCTACCCCTCTCCCTTCCTCTCTGTAAAAAAGCAGTAAAATATATTTTTTAAAAAAAGAAAACCACAGTTGCTTGTATTTTTTAATTAGGATGCTTTTAGGCAAGGTGTGCCCTATTCCTTTGTAATGGACCTACCACTGTATTGTGCTACATCAAGCCACTTCACATACTTAGTACATTTGCCTCACCGCCTTGAAAAGCGTCTGAGTTTGTGACCCCTACTTTACTTTTTATCTCATCACGTCTGCCTACTATTAACTTTTCTTGAGGAAAAGGAGTTGAAAATGCTTTTGCTTGCTTATTTTTAAGAAACTATCATTTGATTAGTTAGGATGGATAAAATAAAATTAATATGTGATTGGACTTGGTAAATGGCAAAGTAATGATACCGTATCCTTATATATCAAGGATGATTTAAAAAAAATTATTGACTGACATTAGTTAATAAAATTATATAGGTTTTGCCCTGGCTGGTGTGGCTAGTTAGTTGAGTGTTGTCCAATGCACCAAGAGGTTGTGGTTCGATTCCAGGTCAGGGCACATGCCAATCAATGTTTTTCTCTCAATGTTTCTCTCTCCTTCCTTCCTCTCTCTCTAAAATCAGTAAAAACATATTTTAAAAAATTATATAGGTTTCAAGTATACAACTCTATAATACATCATCTGTATATTGCATTGTGTTCCCACTACCCAAAGTCAAATCTTTCATCACCATATATTTGACCCCCTTTACCCTTTACTACTCCCCAACCCCCTTCCTTCTGGTAATCATCATACTGTTGTCTATGTCTGAGTTTTTATTTATTTTTCTTGTTAACCTCAGAGTTAAGGTTAAACATTATCTGTAATCTAACCCACACAATGCTTATCCAATAATGTGTAATGCAGTGTACTGGATATATGTATATTCCATCCTCCCTCTTTATGGAGAATTATAGAAAGAAAAGTAGTACTATTGTGACATTAAGTTATAATAGGAAGTCTATATTAGAGAAGAGCTTGAGAAATATTGCACAATATTTTAAATCTCAAGTACATATTTGGCATCTCTAGGATTGGGAATGGAGGGGTTCAAGAGATGGGATTAATTGCAAATCATAAGATCTGAAAAGTATGAGACATTTGAAATGAGATTAGACTAATTTTTTTCTTCATTGCCTCACTATGCCTATTATGTGTCTAACAAAGCAAAAATAAATTTTCAAGTATCTTATTGAAGCTGTGAATGGGAGTTCCTTGAAAAGTTTCTAGTGAGCAAGGGATGGTACATCATATAATATTTATTACTTATTAAATACTATATGGACTATCATTCTCTTTATTTAATATGATCTTCATTCTAATGAACCTAAAAACTGACTTTTTAGTGTTCTGCCTAAAACTATTTTTTTCCCATAACAACTTAAATTCCTCAGCTAATCATCTTCCTACCAGAATGCTTTCAGAAACTTAACCTTCTCAGCTTTGAAAATTAGGCTTTTATAAATCACCAGTGCCCTATGCATGCATTCGTGCACATTGAAAGGAAATTAATTAGAAGAAATATTTTGATATCACTATTTGCCTTTTCTCTATAATAGAAGTGTCAACCAAATTCACGACTGACAATGACAGATCGAAACACATGTGTGATTAGCGCCAGCCAGAGCTTTATATGTATCGTGCATGCACAAGTCAATTCCTTCTTTTTTAGAACTGCATAGTATTCTATGGTGTAAGTGTACCACTACTTTTTTTATCCACTCATCTACTGATGGGCACTTGGGCTGTTTCCAAACATGAAATGAAAACAACAGTCACCCTTGGTCCCACCATGGACAGCATGGAAGGATCTGGAGAGTATTATGTAAAATGAAATAAGCTAGTCATAGAAAGACAAGTATCACATGATCTCACTCATATGGGGAATCTAATGAACAAAATAAAGTGATGAACAAAATAGATCATGAGACACAGAAGCATGGAACAGACCGACAAATCTCAGAAGGTGGGTGTGGGAAGAGATTAACCAAAGAACTTATATGCATACTAGAGGCCCGGCGGGGCCGGGGGGGGGGGGAGAGTATCCCTCAGCCCGGCCCCTACACCCTCTCAAATCCGGGACTCCTAGGGGGTCCCTGTGGGATGAGGCCTAAAGTGGAAGTTGGACATTTCTCTCTCAATCCTGGACCACTGGCTCCTAACTGCTTGCCTGCCTGCCAGCCTGATCACCACCTAACTGCTTCCTTGCCAGCCTGATGGCCCCCAACTGCCCTCCCCTGCCTGCCTGATGGTCCCTAAATGCTCTCCCCTGCCAGCTTGATGGTCCCAAA